TAATAACTGAAAATTAAGAATAAAGGTACAAACCTATAACCCTTAACTCATAAGAAGTGACAAACAGAAGCATAACTCAAATGAAGTTATGAGAAATATCTATCACAATCTTTAGGTACTGTGTTTTCTGACAAAATTTTATTTTTTATTTTATATGAATGTGCATACAAAATTCATATACACTGTCTCATACATTCCTTCATTCACATTGTGTTTCATAGGATCATTCCCATCCACTGTATTTTACAAAAGTAATCACCATTGATTTATGCTCACTATCACTCCCTCTTTCCAGGTCCCCACTTAGATGTATCCTAATTCCTTAACCTCCTCCTTCCATCATCAAACTCCCTCCCCACTCTCTGTTACTCTGTCCTCCCTTCCATTTTCCCTTTAGACTTTCATCTACATCTTATTTATCCTTCTATTTTTATGGTAATGACCTTATATGGTATTTGTCCTTATGAGACTTAGTTCACTCAGAATAATGCTCTCTAGCCTCTCCCATGTTACATAGTATATTACAAAATTATTCCTGAGTGTTGCATAGTATTCCATTGTTTGAATGTACCACTATTTCTCAATGTATTTGTTTGTTGATAGATCTTTGGGTTGTTTCCTTTTTTCTTGATACTGAGAACATCATTGCTATACACATTGGAGTACAAATCTCCATTTGTGCCTTGGTTCTATTTTCCTTGAGTTACATGAGTTGTGGGATGAAAACAGGGATATCATCCATAAAGAAAAGTAAAAGATCATTACAAAAATGGAAAAACAAAAAAAAACAAACCAAAAAAACACAGATGTCAGAAGAGATTAAAGACGGCACTGGAGCACTGAGACGCCAAAACAAAAAGAAAACATGTTAAAGTGAAAGAACTGAACAGAATATTTCAAAGGGCAACTTGGGAGAACACACCAAAGTATTATAATGGAAAGTGCAGAGAGCTGGACTTGGAGAATAAACAGAGAACAACTCGTTCTGCATTTCTAAAGCTGAAAGAACTGAAAAACAAATTTTGGCCTCGTGTCGCAATATTGAAAGATGCTATGGACAATATATTGAATGACCAAGAAAGCATTAAAAGATGAGGGAATACACAGAATCACTGTACCAGAAAGAAGTGATTGACACTGGAAGTGAAACTTCAGGAAGTACCATATGAGCAGGAGCTAACCGTAATGAAGGAGAAAGTAGAAGCTGCACTGAAAGCATTGAGGGGAAAAAATGCCCCAGGAAGCAATGGGTTACCAAGTTACTTATTTCAATTAACAGATGCAGCTTTGGATGCACTTATCAGCCATTGTAAGAAAATTTGGAAGACAGATGCCTGGCCAAAAGATTGGAAGAGGCTGATGTTAGTTTCTATTCCCTCTAAAGGTGGTCCAACTGAAGAGGGAACTATTGAACAGTATCATTACTATCACATGCAAGCAAAATACAGCAGAAAAACATAAAAATGTGTCTAGAACAGTACATAGATAAGGACTGCCAGAAGTTCAAGCAGAATTTAGAAGAGGCCAGACACCTCTGATATCAGATGCTAATGTCAGAGGGATCCTGGCTGAAAATAAAGATTACCAGAAAAATATGTATTTATGCTTTATTGATTATAAAAAGCCATTTGACTTTGTGGAACATAATATGCTGTGGTTGACATTAAGAAGAATGGGAACTTGATTGTGATCTTGCAGAACCTATAACTTGACCAGGAGGCTGCTGTGTGAACGGAGCAGAACACTGTATGGTTTAAAATTGAGAAGGGAGTCAGGGTTGTATTCTCTCTTCATATCTATTCAATCTGTGTGCTGAGCAAACTAGCTAAGAAGCTGGACTCTATGAAGAGGAGTGTGGCATCAGGATTGGAGGGACACTCCTCAATAACCTGCGTTATGCAGATGAAACAACCTTGCTTGCTGAAAGTGAAGAGGATTTTAAGAACTTGTTGCAGAAGATCCAGGAATACAGCCTTCGGTATGGATTGTTGTTGTTTCTGCCAACAAGTCAAACACGACTAATTGCTACCCTATGAACAAAAGACCTGAAGTCTTTCTATAACTATCATTTATTACATCTTCAAGATCAAATAAACAAAGACTCTGACCACTGAACCAATAGGCAGCATCATGATGGATGGAGAGGGGATTGAAAATGTTAACAGCTTTATCTTGCTTGGATTCACAATAAACATCCTTGGTTCTAGAGTCAGGAAAGAAGGAGACATATTGCACTGGGAAAATCTGCAGTTAGGGACCTCTCCAAATTACTGAGGAGGAATAATGTCAGTTTGAGGACTAAGATGGTCTGATTTAGGCCACAGTCTTTCTGATTACTTTCTCTGTATCTAAGAGATGGACAGAAAAGGATTCATGTCTTTGAGCTGTGGTGTTGGAGAAGAGCACTGAACATCTCATGGATGGCCAAGAGAATAAACTGATATGTCTTGGAGAGGGTGCAGCTGGAGTGCTCTTTGGAGGCAGGAATGATGAGTCTTTGTCACACTGGAAACGGTGGCGTGTTGGTGAAGGACAGGAAGACTCTCAACCAGTTGGAACGATATGGTGATTGCTACAATGGGCTCTTGTCCTAAGTGTGAGCATGGTGCAGGACAGGACTGGTTTCAGATTCATTAGTTTTAAAATTGATATTGTGCCTTTTCAGCACTCTGGAGAAGTCCGGGACAGTTGATTTTTCCAATGCAACATGTCTTTTGATTTTGTGCCTGCTGTTTTCATTAATTGTGGAGCCAAATAAAATGAAATCCTTGGCACTGTTGACATCTTTTCTTTGTCATAATGTTGCTTATTTATATATACATAATTTATATAACTAACTTTTAATAAATATATAACTATCTGTCTGCACTTTTGAGGTTTTTTTATTTTTTTTTAGCAAAAGTGCAAGGACAAACTTAGATGCTCAATAAATATTAAGTATATACATAAATGACAGTAACGTCTTTTATAAGTTTTTTTCATAGAAGTTAATAGGTTCCAAAGATCACTATCAAATGATTAATGAGATGAATATACATTTTATTTCAAAGTAAGTATGTTGTTGTTATGTGCCGTCGAGTCATTTGCGACTCATAGCGACCCAATGTACAACAGCCCTAAACCCTGCTCTATCCTGTGCCAATCGCACTGCCTCTGAAAAACCCATCCCGATTACCCCAGTCACTGAATCAATCCATCTCTTCCCCTCTTGCGCCGTCCCTCCACCCTCCCAAGCATGATGTCCCTCTCCAACGACCTGTCCCTCCTTGCACCATGCCCAAAGTATGTCAGATGAAGCCCCAGAATCCTTGCTTCCAACGAGTTGCTTGGTTTAAAAACTAAAAAAACAAACAAAAAAGAAAACCCACCAAAACAACCCTCATTATTGTGGAGCTGGGCCAAATCATAGCAGACCTGACACTGGGTTTCTGAGGCTGTAAAACACACGGAAGGAGAATGACCATTTCCTTTCAGAGAATGAGTTGTGGTCAGAACAACTGAAGAGGTGCCACTTTTAGGTTAATAGTGCAAGTCCCCAGTGATGAAGCAACCAGAGCAGACCTGTATAATGTTACAGTTGTTAGGTGCCATTTAGTGGAGGAGGACTCTAGTGACCCTATGAACAACAGGTCTGACCCTATCCTATCCTGGGCCATCCTCATCATTTCTGACAGTGTCGATCTCACTGCTGCAGCCACTATGTCAAACTAGTTTGTGAAGGAAGGGTCTTCCTCTGTTTTGCTTACCCTTGACCTTTCCAAGTATAATGTCCCTCTCACAGGAATTGTCTGTCTTAACAACATGCCAAAGTATGTGAAACAAAGTATACATAGTAATAAAACAATAAAGTTTTTCAAATTAGCCTGCAGGGATTTAAAGGCTAAACAGCAAGCTTCTGGAAGCTCTGTTAACTTAGATAAATGATGATCGTTATAGAAAGGCTTCAGGCCTTTTGTTCATAGGGTTGCTATGAGTTGGACTCGACTTGACAGCAATCAACAACAACATTATTAAAATCGTTGGCGTCTTCCTCTGTAAAATAAGAATAATAATACTTTCTTCCTAATAAAATGTATTTTAAAAATTAAAACTAAAGAATAAATTAGAGCCACTATGTAAAACAGTGAGAAAAGTAATAGTAATCATTACTATTGTAATTTAGTTATTAATTAATATCATGGCACTAGTCAACTCAATCACATCTAACTACAATTACAAATTAAGTATTAATAATGTTGAGGGTATAACTACAAAAAGGTGTGCCATTGAGTAGAAACTGACCCCAAGCAGACCCTCCAGAGGGTTTTCAGAGGCAGTAAATTGGACAAGAGGCGACTGGGCATTCTTCTTCCTGGAGCAGCTGGTGGATTCAAACTGCACACCTTTGAAATTGTTACAGTTTCTTACCACTATGCCACACAACTAGGCCACCACACATTCAAATCAAACTTGCAAATGTAACATAAATAATCATAATTTATAATTTACTCTATGTTATCTTATATTTATAAGTATCAATATAGAGAACTCTGGTGGCCTAGTGTGAAGAAGCTACACTGCAATCCCAAAGGCATGAAGTTTGAACCCACTGGTTTGCTCCTGGGGAGAAGGCTGGGCTATAATCTCTTTCCATTTGACTTAATGACTCTGAAAACCCACTGCAGAGTAAGCTATTGGTTGGTTCTGACCTGACAGTATACAATGACAACAATGCCTGTTTGTGACAAGGAAGTAACAAGTAAGTTAATGTTGTTGCCAAGACAAAGCATAAATCTGGATTCTGAGCATTGGAAAAGTAAAAGGTAAAATTATAGGTTCCATACTTTAAATATTAAAGTGATGAAAGCACATTAACGATATTATAACTTTAGAAGAAATAACATTACATAAAAAGTTAAACACTAATGTCCACTAAAGTATAATTAATTAAGTAGGATAAAATAGGATGCTTTAAGAAAAAGGAGTAAAAAGGATAATTGCAAAGAGTTAAAGTTACTAACCTGACTTATCTTTCTTTGTTCTTGTAAAGCTTTTTGGATTTCCTGAGATACTTTTTCTTGATCTTTTGCATGTTCGGTCTTCCATAATTCCCTTTCTTCAGCATGTGCTTTTTCCAGATTTTTTCTTTCTTCTTCTATGGCTTTTAAAACTGCATCCTGCATTGTCTCCTTCTCAAGCTTCAAAATAAATAATGGTCAATTAAAAAATATAGAGCAATAATTCCTCGACTAAAGCAAGTTTAGGTAAACATAAAAGACACAAACTTTGATCCTTTGGGGTTTACTTCTGTGACTGCTGTTTTTGAGATATATTTATCAATTGCTTAAAGAATAAATTTCATTTTATTTTTATACAAATAAAAAATTAATAATAAATAAATAAATAAAAAGTAAATAATTTTTAAGAGTACAAAGAGTTCTTGAGATCAAATAGTTGGAAATGTACTGTTTAACCTGAGGCCTAGTTGTCCTGATGTTTAGAAAAGTTGTCTTGAGGAAAATTTATTTACTGTTGCATAGGGCTTTGTTTGTGATGAAAAGATATTAATATTTATTATACTAGGGATTAAAACCTACAGTATTTAAATAATTTGCTTATGAATATATGTAAAATAACATAAAATGCACTAATATGAAATATATTTTATGAAAAAGCTTTTTTTTAAAATTAAGAATGAGAAGGATGACATTGTTTTTCACATATTAATATATGACTGCATAGTAGATAGTTCACTTCTTTTATGTGCTTTTTGTGTTGCTATAATGATAAGGTTTTTGGTTTAAGAGAACTGGAATGAACTCAATGGCAGCCCAAAGTCAGTCTCAGAGTGAAAAGTGAAGAGTCAGATCCCTAAATACCTGTGTGATTTTTTACACTTCACCATAAGGCAATTAAAAAGGCTTTACTTGTGAGGCCTCAGTGGGAAAATTGCCCTCTTCAACTAGTTTTGTGCCAGAACTACTGCACTGCTGTCTTTAAAGGCCATGAAGAGGGATGAATTCATCCACCTACCCTCACCCTTCCCTTGCCAACCTTTTCTAAATATCTGTATCTCATACCAAGTCCTTCCTAAAAAGTCCTCTGCTATAAATATATTTCTTGGTGTATGTATATTTAATATTTAGAAATATAATACTTAGATGGGCTCTTTTAAAATTGGTTTTTCAACATACCTACCTCCATTATCCAAGTTACTGTGCCAATCCATCTCATCCAGGGCCTTTCCCTCTTGCACTGGACCTCCACCCTTCTATGCATAATGTCCTTCTCCAAGAAGTAGTCCTTGTGTCGACATGCCCAAAATATGTGAGACTAAGCTCCAAATTACTTGCCTCTAAGAAGCAACCTGGTTTCACCCTCTTCAGGAAAAATCTGTTTCTTTTCTTTACAGTGAAGGGTATATCAACACTCTTCTCTAGCACCACAACTCTGAAGATCATTCCTCCTTCTGGCATTCCTAGTTACTGTCTAGCTCTCTGATGAATCACAAGTACTTGTGAAGACCATGACTGAGATCAGGTGTATCCTAGCCTCTAGACTGACATCTTTGCTCTTTAGGACTCTGGAGAGGTCTCTGAGTGCAAATTTTCCCAATGTAATTAATCTTTTCATTTCCTGACTGCCAGTGCCAAGGGTATTGATTATGGAACCAAGTAAGCTGAAATTATTAACAATTTCAATCTCCTCTACGTCTATCATGATGCTGCCATTTGGCCCAATGGTGAGAATTTTTGTCCTCTTGATGTTGAGCTTCAATCCATATTGAAGAATGCAGCCCTTGACCTTCTGCAGCAAACACTTTAGGTCTTCCTCATTTTTGGCAAGCAAGGTGGTCATCTGCTAATGTAGGCTGTTGATGAGTGACACTCATCCTTATAAAGCCTAGCTTTCCTAATGATATGTTCTACATACAGATTGTAAAGATGCATCTCTGGCACACTTCTTTCCCTATTTGAACCATGCAGTGTTTCCTTGCTCTGCTCTGATGACTGCTTCTTCATACAAATATAGGTTTCATATGAGCACAATCAGGTGTTCTGGAATTTCTCTTCTTCTCAAAGTTAGGCACAGTTTGTTGTGATCCACACAATCAAATGCCTGTGCATAGTCAATGAAACATAGACAGACATTGCTCTGATACTCTCTTCTTGCAGCCAAGATCCATCGGACAGAAAATGATGTTCCCAGTGCCATGGCCTCTTCTAAACCCAGTTTGTATGCTGGTAGTTTTCTGTCAACGTACTGTTCCAATAATTTTTGGATCTTCAACAGGAATTTGCTTGCATAATATATTAGTATACTGCTCGAGAATATCCACTCTTTTGCATCATCTTTGGTGTTGTTGTAATGAGAATAAATATGGATCTCTTCCAGTCAGTTGGCCAGGCAGTTGCCCTCCAGTCTGCCTGGTAGAGTATTATAATAATTATTATCATAATTAATAATCTAAAGTATTCCAATAGCATCAGAGTTTGGCAACAGAAATTTAGCAATAATATTAAAAGTTGTTTCCTAAACTTAAGAAGAAATTTTTTTAAAAAAATCCATTTTTCTAGAAGGAAATTTTATATAAAAAGACTAAATTCAGGTGTTTAATATCACCATTTACAAAAAGCCCCATTATTACACATGAAATACCTTTGCAGCAGATACTAATGCCTCTTTATTTCGTTGTCGTTCTTCCTCCAAACATTTTTCTAGTATTTCCTATAAAAAATAAGATAGGTGGGTAGAGATGTAAGTTATTAATTGTGGTAGCAGAGCACATCACAATCTTTCCACACCCTGTTCACACTTAAGTATTACCTTCTGTTCTTGAGACTGCTCAATCAAAGCTTCCTTTATTTTCTCTTTTAACAGTTCCTTCTCTGTATCTAGTATTTCTAGGAGCCGCTGATGCTATAAGGAAAACAATTTATGATTATGACTCTGATGCAGACAATTTACAAACAAGGAATATGTCTGATGGGATAAGTGTTGACTTTTATTTCAATGTGCTAATGAAAACACACTCACAAAACCATCAACCACTTATCATTGCCTAAGTGCTTAGAGTCTGGTTGGGGTTTTGTAATATTACTTTGTAGCCTCAATGTTCCCAACATTGATACTATTTTGGAAAACCTAAAGTCTTATGTGGAAAAAACACTCAAAGAAAACGTACATTGTTACTCATATAGACATCTCATTTACTTACTAAAGGAAAAAGAGATACTTTCTCAAATTTAGAACACTATTTATATCCAAGACATATTTAAATATGAATTTAGTATGATACACAATGTTTTAAAATAGATCTAGGTCTTTCAAAGTTGTCTTAATTTAAAACATTTTAAAGTCAGTTGATGCTGAAAATAAGTGACCCAAGCATCCATGACTAGTTATGTTCATTTATATTCCTGTTTTTAATTATAACAGTATTTTTTATCTGTTTTTCAAAAAAAGAGAAGAAAAAAAATCACATGAAAAATGTGGTTTTTCCTTAAAAACAAATCCAAATTGTGATAGAAATCATGAAATGATTATGAGAACTTATTGGTACCATATGAATCTGTGAAAGGCAACTGACTAACAAATGAGTAGACTCACCACATGATGTAGAAGAATTATAACAGTCTTCTTTGATTTTATATTTTATGTAAGTAAATAAATGCATATACAATTATATAAGTTCAGAAATAAAGGAATCTAATCCTATTTAATATACACATATGATATATATGCCATTAATATTTTAAGTTAAAATAATAAATGTAACTCTCATATAGAACAAAAATTATTCTATTTAGCTTTTTTAGTATTTAAGCATTACAAAAATGGAACACATTTTTTTATTTAACATACATAATAAAATACCCAGTACCACATTAATAATTTTGAAAATAATTCTCCTTAACAGAAAGAAAAGCTATTTTAATAAGTCACATTAATGAAAAAATAATAACGAACTATAAGTAGGTCAAGTTTCTCTGGAGTTTCAATGAAAACTGAAGTCAGAAAGGGTACATTCACTGAAATGACCATGATGTTATTAGAAAATTAATTCCTGAATATAATTAAATTCTTATTGAACTTGTGTAGGAAAAAATGTGAAATTACCACTTGAAAAGAGAATCCTACTTACATTACACATTAAGTAAAATCACTGATTTACTTAAAACACAGTTATTAGCTTTATACAAATGGAGAGGTCTAGAGGCCTAGTTCGGTAAGAAGTTGTGCTGTCAAAGCTAAAGCAGGTGATTCAAATCTACCAGGTGCTCCCAGGAAGAAAGATACTTGTTTCCTCCCCTGCAATCATTCTCATTGTTGTTAACTGCCTTTGAATTCATCAGGACTCATAGGGACCCTATGAACAAAAGTCCTGATGCCCCTCTATCACAATCAACATTTATCAAAGTTCACAGAGTTTCTAGAGACATCCTTTGCAATATATACCCTTTTAAAGTCTACAAGAGGGTCAGCTATGACTCTGAGTTAGTTCAGACCCAACGATAATGAGAGCAGGACATACAACCAGATAATAGCTAACTTTTTTTTTTTTGAGCACTTTTAAAGGTATAGCTCCACATTAAGTCCTGACAACTATTGAAGTCAACATTATTCATAATTTCCAGATGAGTAATCTAAGATTTTTGAGAAGACAGGTAATTTTTTAAGTGTTTAATGAATTACTTCAACAACAATCTACCAGTATACTTTGTTAGAGGTGGCTGTTGCTGTTATGTCCTTCGAGTTGCTTGCAAATTATAGCAATCCTATGTACAACAGCTCTGAACTCTATGTGATGCCAATTTCATCACTAAGTCAATCCATCTCAACCAAGGTCTTCCTTTCCAGCACTGTCCCTCCACCCTTCCAGGCTTGATGTCCTTCTCCAAGGGCTGATTCCTCCTGCCCAGATGCTCAAAGTATGTTATGTGGAGCTTCAAAATCCTTGGCTCCAAAGTATGTCAGGTAGATCTTAAAAATTCTTGCCTCCAAGGAGAAGTTTGGTTTAACTCTCTCTTGGATAGACCTGTTTGTTCTCTTGGCAGGCCATGGAGGAGTTCAATATTCTTCTCCAGCACCACAACTCAAAGGCATCTATTCTTCTTCTATCATCCTGAGTCACTTTCCTGCTTTCTGATGGATACATAGCAAGTAAATGCAAAGACCATGGCCTGGACCAGGTGCACTTTAGTGTCTAGACTGACATTATTGCTCTTCAGCAGATTTTAC